CCTTTTTGATTTCTCTGGGATGCAGAGAGGGCCTATACTTTTCTAATTTCACCATGCTTCCCTCTCAACCATACTAAGGGTCAGTTTTCCACCCTCTTCACCTCTTGTCCAAGCAAAATGACCCACATCTTTAAATTAGAAAAGATTGAAATTTTTAAATTAGAAAGATTTATGGAGATTCAGCTGGTTTATGCCTCCCCTTTGTGAATTAAATACCTGAGCCCCACTAATGTTCGTCATTGTGACTACTTTAAAATAAATGAGTAGTGAAAAAAAGTATTGTAAATTCTCATGTGAACTTTAAATCAATTGATTCTATTTTACATATATATATATATGTATGTATGTATATAGTAAAATACTATCATAAAATTCCATGCCTGAATTCTCATCTTTCTCACTTCTTAGTTTCCCTGGCTTCTTTCAAGGATCCACTCAAATCCTACCTTCTTCAAGAGACTTTTCTGAATCTTCATTCTACCTTCCTATGTACCTAGTTGTCTTTCCCATTAGAATGTGAACACCTTTAAGGACAGGGACCATTTTTACCTTTCCTCTATACTTAGCACAGTCCTTGGCGTTTTATAAAATGCTTAATAAATGTTTGTCGTCTGACTAATGTCATCGTGTTTAAGGAACAGCTAATACTCCGGTTTGGCTAAAACAGATTATCTGTGTGAGGGGAAGTAGTATGAGATAAGGTTGGAAAATTTAGTTGGCACCAGATTGTGGAAGGCCTTGAATGCCACCTATTGTCAGGCCTTCTCTGTACAAAGCCTGAGAAGAAGAGGAAAATCACTTTCCTTGAAGCAGTTTTCCTGGTGGAGAAATAAAATTTTTCAGTGTAGCCAGTACTTGACAAGGAGTGCCAGAAATCAGTCTCCAGATGCTGAAAACCCTAGAACTTTCAGCTTCCTCTGTAAATGAGCTGTTGGAATGAACTTTTATGCATCTTCATTTAGCTAACTCTGCTGCCCAGTAGTAATTATAATTTGAGTCAGATTTCTGTAACAGAATTTCAAAGTCCTCAACACACTGACAAAAACCAAGCCCCTCCCCCACTACTAGGGAAATTAGCTGTTTCCATTCCCAGCTGACATCTCCATCCATCCCCTGAGCCTTTAACAAGGTGCTGGCACAGAATTATACAGTGAGCTAGTTCTTTCTCCAGTCTAACACCCCCTTCCTATCCCTCTTCGTTTCTCCCACCTACGCCATTAGCTTGATCTGTGTTCTATGTAAAGCTGAATATCAGTTTTTCCTTGAATCTCCAAAAACCCATGAGTGTTTTTTTTTTCCTTCTATAGAAAAGAGAGATAAGAAACTACCCTTCCTTCCTCATCCCTTCCCTAGAATAATGTAGAATAATGTTAACATTGGAAAGAGAATACAGTGTCACACATCCGTTCTCGAATGGAAAATAATGTGACATGATCAGACCTATGCTGTACATACCATCATAGTCCCCTGACACATGGTGGCCAACAATATGCACTTGTGAATATATCAGCTAGATAAAGGATGCTGTGTGGAGCTGCAGGGCAAAGATTTTCTGTGTGCATTACTAAGTGGGCTAAATGTTACTGAGCCCCAAACCTTTCCCTGCTTAGCTCTATAGTATAGACAAATTGTATCTAGTCAGATCTTTTTTGATCTGGACCTATGATTTCATCAGTTTCATGAACTCCAAATGTGGAAAATCCCCTCATCTATGCAGATGAGTAATGTGTTTGTAATTTATTATTTTAGGTAGTTGCCTAGGGCACTAAGAAATTAAGTGGATTACCCATGGTCACAGAGTTAATTGTGCCATGATGATTACTTGAAACCCACTCTTCCCAACTCCAAGGTTGGCCATCTGTCTGAGACACCTTCAGTGTTGTGACTAATGATGAGTAATTCAATGAGCAAGCATGTAAATATACTTTCATACATCATATTTTATAATAATAATAATAATACTGTTAGTTGATATTTAAATTGTGCCTATGTTCCAGGCACTGTGCTAAGCACTTTACAATTATCTTATTTGATCCTCACAACACTCCTGGGAGGCAGATGATATTATTATCCTCATTTTCCATGAGGAAACTGAGACAAACAGAGGTTAAGTGATTTGTCCAGGGTCACAGTCACATAGCTAGTAAATGTCTGAGGTCAAATTTTAACTTCGTTCTTCCTGACTCCAGGCCTGGTGCTCTATTGCACTACCTAACTGTCCATTGCATTACCTAACTCCTTGACACAGGTTTTCAAAATGCCTGTTTATGATCTATCTTTATATAATTTTGAACATCAGTTTCCTCATCTCTGAAATGGAATAATAGTATGTGAAGTACCTGCCTAACCGTATTATTATGAAGAAAGCACTTCATAATCCAAACCCTGTATAAATATTAACTATCATCTTTGTAACTGGGTAGATTTCCTAGGTCACGTTACCCTGGATACGTATATTTGTTATGTGTTTACAGGGTAGAGCTAAGGATGATAAGGTTCCAAGCTCATCAGCATTTGAGCTAGTTAATATAGCCCATAGAACATTTTTGGCCTATAGCCACACACTGCCTCCTTTATCTAACCTATAGACTCACAAGCGTACATTGTTGTTCATCATGGCACATGGTAGGGGACCTTGTAAAGCCTATGTCTGATCATGTCACTTGCTTCCTGTTTCCTGTTGTTCTGTGGCTTCCTGTCTTAAGGATATCCTCTGTTTATCCATTTACAACCTGACTCTAGGCCACCCATTCAGATTTATCTCCTTTTACTCTCTCTCCCGTAATCTATATTCCTGACCAAATGGCCTACTTAGAATACCCTGTTTGGAACATTCCAGCTCACTGGTTGTCCCCTGCCTAGAATGTTTTTTCTTCTTACTTCTGCTTTTTTGATCTCTTGTTACCCCGGAGGCTGAATTCCAACACTGTCTCCTAGAAGAGACTTTGCCTGGTCCCTGTACCCAGTATGTGCTTCCCCCCTAAATTGCTTTGCATTTAGTTTTTCTTTATTTTGTATTTACTTATCTGTGTATATGCTGTTTATCCCCAGTAGAATGTAAGCTTCTTGAGGAAAGGCCTTTTTTATCTTTGTATTCTCAGTGCCTGACACATAGGAGGCCCTTAATAAGTACTTGAATTGGAGTTCAATGAAGCTCAACCCCAGTAATAGTATTGAAGAAAAATCAACTCAAAATTCAGGTCCTTCCTACCAGGAATGACTCATTTACATCATCTTTGAACCTGAACAAAAATATTGTGTTAAAAGGAACATATTGAAAGAGGAACAGAATTTTGTAAATAAAAGCCAAATACATCCTTCAGATCATTGTACAGAAACGTTCTGTAGAAAAGATGCATGTGTGTGCATGTGTCTTCTGTCGCAAATCTTGACTGCAATCACCCTGAGCAGATTCTAGTCTGCCAGCACTGTTTCTTCCTGTATTTTCATTTGACATTTAGGAGCTAGTTAATTATTTTTGGTTGTCTCTGTTTGCCCTGTTCAGAATTTCTTTACTCAGTACTGTCTCCCATTTAAAAAATACTTCATAAATTTCAGTGAGCCCTAAGGAGTTCATAAAGCAGCTTTCCAATCAAGCTCTGGGTTTAATGCTTAGTTGTTTTTTGTTGGGTTTTTTTTTCAATAGAGCACTATGCTTTCACCATAGATTAGAGCCAAATTAAATACATCTCTAGCTAATTTCTTTACTGAAATACTTTTATCCTACTTGTTATGGTTTGAACTCAGCTGCATCTCTAAGCCTATACCTTTTTTTTTTGTCAGTTTCTTTAACCTTCAGGTTGGTAGTTGATCATTTGTTTACCACATGAAATATTTGATGTTGCTATTATTATCATTATTGCTTATCATCATCATTATTAACAGGAACAGGAAAGATTAAAATTTCTTAGCAGGATGTTTGGAAAATGTTTAGAAGATAAAAACCTTTTTTTATTAAAAAAAAAAAGAAAATGTTTTTGATAGTGAGGATAGTATGAACCCCAGAGCTGGAAATAGAATTTCAGTGTCCTATTCCTAATTCTCTTCATTTATACATGTATAGCTTCTTTAGTTCTCTGTACTGCAGATAATGAATGTGGAAAATATCACGTAACAAAGGAGTCAGGAGGTTCAGTTAAAGACCTCAAAATCTTAGTAAGCCAAGAATCTTCACTTGTTTTGATATGATATGGAATAGTAATAGAGAGGATGCAGTATCACACATCTAGCCTCCAGTAGATACTTTTAGGATGATGCAAAGGTGAACAATGGCTAGTAATGTACATTGTTAAATCTTGTTTCTCCTTTTACATTAACTGCCTTGAACAGAGATCAGCTTTTACCATTGTTTGCTATCATCTTTTATTTTTTCTGTCTTCCCTTTCTTCCTTGAGGAAGAACATGATTATCCTACATAACCCAGAGGCCTGGACTGTAAGGCACTGTCTCTCTAGCCTTGGCAAGATCTTGGGGTTGATAACTCATCCAGAATTCTTGCCAGCACTGTGGAGTAGAGCTGCAAACAGATGCTGAGCCCTTCCCCTTTCAAAGGAAGCACCCCGTTTTTGTTTTGAATCCTCCACAAATAGCATATAGTAGACACTTAATAAATGCCTATGGAAGTAAAATGGAGTTCAGTGCAGACCAATCTGTAATGGCATTAGAAGAAAAATACCCAAAATAGCAACTTACTGGATCTTGAGAGCATGAAGGTGTGGAGAGCCCTGACTTTATGTGGTTCTCACTGGATTTGAGCCTATCGGACTTGCTTCACTGTCTAATCATTTGCTAAAACAGATGTTTCTTCATGTACTCCCAGTTCCTCGTATATTCATATGAAGATGTTTCTTCATGTACTCCCAGTTCCTCATATATTCATATGAAGCCAAAACAGTGAGGAGAGACATGAAACAAGATGCCATGTTTATTTGTTTGTTTGTTTTTTAAATGCATGCACCAAGTGAAATTCTTAATGTTTTTATCATTTTTCTTTCTTTCAGTGCCTTCCCCTGGTCAAGATAACCACATGAGCATGGATCTCCCTCCAGGGTCAGAACAGATCATGCAGACGCTGAGTGAACTGGCCAAATCTTTCCAGGAAATGGCTGACCGCTGCCTGCTGGTTCTGCATTTGGAAGTCAGGTGCAGCTTTGGGCGGGAGTTCTTGCCAGTTTGAATGCATTAGGAGTCATATGTCACTCGCTTTCTAAGGAAGTATTTTATGAGTCCTTGTAGATGTTTTAATAAAAATGTTCATTTTACAAACTGGAAGTGAACGACAGAGTCTGTCTTCAAATTGTGCTTACATATATGCAAGGCACTGTGCTAAACAGTATTCGTGATGTACAGAATAAGACTTTCCCCTACAACATGCTTGGAAAGAGAAAACTCATATATGAGCAAAGTTAAACAACAATATGAAATAACAGCACAAGAGATTCCATAAGGCTGTCCATGAGTAATTATCGAACAGGTGATAGAGGATTATGAATTCTAAGGAATGAGATATTAATGTTGGCCTGATTAGGCCTTCTTCATGGAGGAGAAAGGATTTTAACTATATGATATTTGTGATCCCCAAACTAAAGGATCATAGGACTATAGAGTTTTAGACCTTGAGGGATCCTTAGATATCATCTGGGCCAACCCCATCATTTTGCAAATGAAGGAACAGGAATCCACACAAGTGAAATAGTAAGTAACAGAGCCAATATTCAAACCCAGATCCTTTGCCCCCAAATTCATTGCCCTTTCCCCTAGACCACAGTGCATCTTCCTCCTGGTGCATTGCTTAGCCCACCCAACAACATTCTTCTCTGTTATCTATTCATTTCCCCATTTTAGAGGATGCATTAGATCATCATGCTTAGTCTTTTTTTTTTTTCAGTCCAGATGTTGAATTCATCAGTTTAGGGAACTCCCAGGTAGGAACATCCCTCTATCCATGTGGATCTGTAACTGCTCTAGAACCCCAGCCTGTAAAAAGCTGCCTGGAGCATTGAGAGTGGTCCACAGGCTCACTCTCCCAGCATCACATCAGCACCTGTCAGAGGCAGCACTTAGGCCCACATTGACCCGACTCTGCAGCCATCCCAGTATTCACTACACCATGCTGCTTCATGGCCTGCTTTTGTTTCCTTAATGTCTCTACCCCCTACTCTGCTTTTTTTTGGTCTATTTTATCTTTAAGTATGACATCATAAGTGTTTCAACATGGTATGGCCAGAGACACAGTACTAGATTCAAGTCTTTTCAGCTTTTGGAATGGAGTGGCTTCCTGTTGTCTCTCTAGGATGCACAATAGTGTAATCAGATATAGATGCAAAAGCAGTGAGGCTTCATGAAGAGGGGGCTGCCTAACTTATGTTACCCAAGGCGCTGGGCTCTCACTCCTCCTAAGTGCTTTCAGGTACTAGATGGGCAAAGGATGGGCAAACAGAAAAATCAATACAGATTGCTCTTGAATATACTGTTTTTTCATCCTCTCCAGTAGTGTAATAGAAGGGTCAAAGTAGCAGACTGGGAGTCTGGAACCCTAGGTGACATGCCTGTTCTGGCTCCTACTAACTCTGTGACTACTTTACCCCCTTGGGTTCCATATCTGTAAAATGGGCAAATATGGATACATGTGCTCACATCTGCAAATTTGTGATTTGCAAAAATCACATCTACAAATTTGTGAGAAAAGTGTTGTGCAAGCTCTAAAGTGTTAGAGCAATCTGAGTTGTTAGCAGCAGCAGTATGACTTGTCTGTTTGAGCTTTTCAGAAACAGTGACATTTCCTTTCTTATTGGTTTTATACCAATTTTGAAATTGTTTTCTATTAGTTTGTAAGATAGCAATTAAATATATCCCCTGCTTCTATGAATAGATCAAATGGAACAAGCTCTTGAGGAAAAATACCTAATAACTTTGTGATGTGCCAAATTGCAGATTTGCGGAGCGAAGCAAATAGAACACCAAACTAATTACTATCAAAATCCACAGAACTCAGGTTATTGATTGTGTAAGTATGCAATATTTTTTAAAGCCAGACCTAGCTATGTCATGTAGCCAATTCCCAAGAGACATTTTAAACACCTTGAGGTAGGTCATTAACTCCTCTATGTTGCTCCTCCCCTTCATTTCTGCACATTCTGACAATAATAATCATAACATTAGATGCCATTCCATCTAAAGCTTGTTTGGCATGCTGTCAGGGGCACTTAGAGCTGGAGGAAAGGGAATTAGAGTGTGGCCACATAAGAATATTTTGAACTCTAAAATCTGGGAAGGGATTTCTCCCTTTTTTCATCTGTCACTGAGCACTATCCCTTAGTTCTCCCTGCCCAACTTTGAGAGGTCACAAGGTTTCCCAAAACTTTAGTAACAGAGCAGAGGACCAAGAATCTGAAGACCTGGGTTTCTCTTTCTGTTTGCCACTAACTCGTGATGATCATACGCTTGTCACTTAAATTCTTTTTGCTCCATTTTCCCAATCTGCAAAATGGGGGCAATAATGTCAATGTTACGTAAGTCAATGGGATATAATAAATATTAAAATGCATTGAAAAGTAAAGTTGAAAGATAAGATCAAATCATTATTATTATTATTTATTTGTCCTAAGAACTTGAAGAAATATCTTCTCTTTGAGAAATTCTGAGAGTTTTCTCTCCACTGGTATTGTTTGAAAGGAATGAAGATGTTTTGAAGCCCTTAGGTACTATGTGATTTTTCTTAATCATAAGAGACACAACTCAAGGAACCCCATAGCTGTCTTTTAACATTTGAAGGGCTGTCTGTCACATGGAAAGGAGAATTAGATTTGTTGCCATAGGACAGACTCAGGTCCAGTGAATGGGATTTGCATGGAAACAGATTTTGGCTTGATGCAATAAAAATTTCTTCATAAGTGATAACTGAAACAAAGTAGAGTGACCTATCCCAACAGTGTCAGCAGAAACTGGACAATCTCTCATCTGGGATATAGAGGATACGAATTGAACAAACTGGTCTCTGAGATCCCTTTCAACTCTGAGATTCTGTGGTGCCTTCAAGGTTCCATCAAGTAACAATCTAAACAGAAGGGGTTTTGCAGTTTCATACTCATGCCCTTCCATGGCTTTCTGGAACCACTGCTGATGTTTAGACTCTGTAGGGACTTGAATCTCATGATTGAGGAGGCTTACTAAAATTCTATCCAGAAAAATTCTAGATTATGCAAATACAGGGTAATATTAGTGGGCTGTGAGTGTCTTTTTTAAGTGTAAAAATAAAAAGCATTACAAAGAACCTTAGAATGAGAAATGGTTCATTGTTTTTAGTGAAAATACAATTGTTTCCAATGTGTTAAGAAAAGGTTTCAAAGAAGAAGAAATTTAAAATGGAGTATTTTCAGTGTTGATTCATTAAGGTAAGGGTTTTAAAATATAGATGTTATTATGTTCAGCAAGTGTTACTAGTAAGAATTTAGTGAGTAGATTCCACTGTGTTGTGTTGCTTCATCTGTAGAGCCTGGTGCCATATATAAAAGATCTAATACGTTTTATGCTACTGTGCTGAAGAGGAGAGAGCATATGCTAGTCTGCCTGCCACATGCATCAGGGATGTCAGCTTTGGCTCAGGGTTTAAAATTTAGTGTTACCACCATTACCACCATCTCTTTGAAGCCCAGGCGGAAGTCTGTGTTCCAGTGAGGAAGGGTGCTGGACCTCAAGTCAGAGGACTTGGGTTCCTGCTACCTTACTAACTAGGTGACTTTGGGTAAATTACTTAAGCTCCCTTTGGGTAAATTACTTAAGCTGTCTATGCTTAAGTTTCCTCACCCATAGAAGAGAGGGTTAGACCAGATGACTTCTAAGATCCAATCCAGATCTAAAACTATGGTGCTAAGTGGGAGAAAAAAAGATAAATTAAAGAAACCAGAGACAGTATTAAGGGAGTCAAGGGTAGTACTGGGGACCTGAAAAAGCTAATAAGAATTCCAAAATGGCACTAGAGATGGAGTGAAACATTGATCAGAGCTTAAAGTGCCAGGAAGGGAGGGTCAGAGAAGCACCATCTGCCACATATGATATTGTCACCACTCTGAAGGCTAAAGAGCCTAATTTTAACCCTAGCCAGTGCTATAGTTGTTGGATGACACAATATGTTTTTTATAATAGAACTTTAGAATTTAAGAACTGAAAGTGACATTAAGAGTTCATGTAATCCAACTCCATCACTTTGTAGATGAGGAAAGAAAGCCTAGAGAAATGGAGTGAGACACCCATGGGCATCATAGTAATTTGGAATTATATAGTGTTTTAAGGTTTGCAAACTATTTTACTTACAACAAACTCATGAGAGAACTGTCATCTCCATTTTAAAGACAAAGAAACTGAGATCAGAGAATAGACATGACTTAGCCATGGTCACATAGCCAGTATGTGTCAAAGCTAAGATTTGAATCCAGGTCTCTTGGATTTTGAACCTTGACTCAACGCTTTTATTACACACTGCTCTATTTTTTTGAATTATAAAGGTAGTTTCCAGGGAAGAATTAGCAGATTTAATGAAATATCTAGCACAATTCTTGGCACTTAAGTAGGTGTTTGATTAATAATTGATTCATTGACTTTTCAGTGAATTAATTAGAAGTCATCTGGTTTGAACTGAGACCCAAATAAAATTCAACATGGACTACTTTTTGAGATTCAAAAGAAGTAAATTGCATTTGGAACTGCTGTGTTTATATTACTCAGTACTCATAAGGTAGACACAGAAGTCTAGAGAGACTGAGAGCATGCCTTGCCATGATAATAAATATTTACTATGTGCCTCTCATTTGCTGAATATGTTACAAAGAACCTAGATTACATATAGGCTCTGTCCTCCAGGAATGGATACTCCAGTGAAGTATCTCAAATTATCCTGACTTTTTACCTTTATCCAAGAACCAGCCATAACTTAAAAAAAATTTTTTTTGAAAGGCAAATAAATAGGCAACACACACCAGGAATTTAGAAAAACTTCAAATGCCAAAAAATTCAGTCTTGTTCCAAATAATTTTGTACTAGTGGTCCTCATTATTCTTTAGCATTGTTAAAGTTCAAGCTAGAAAGCCTTAGCAAAAGCCAACAGGTTCTAATGAGTTGTAGGACCCAGCTGAAAAACATTTGACATTTTACCTGAGAAACCATAGGTCGTATTTAATCACAGGGAGGTCCCTTTTCCACAGTTGAGGGGGAAAGGGAAATGACACCCTAATTATTAAAAGACATTATAGAAGGATTAAAAATTGTTGAGGTTTCCTCCCATTTGAACTCCAAAGGAAAAATATAAACTTGCCCTTTGAGTCTGGATGCCGAGAATGTCACCTCTATCAGCCGTTTTCTTTCACCATCAGGAGGGCTTGAAGTGGGGGCAACAGCAACTGCCTGTAGCTGGTTTAGCCTAAGTGTGCGCTTTCTGAAAATCAACCCTCATGCTGTGCAATCAGCAGCGTTTGCAGAAAACCTTAATGCCAAAGTCATGTTGAGGTCATCAGCAGCTGCCTATGTTAGAAAATAGCACAGGATTTTCCTTTTGAAGTTGATACTTCCTTGACACCATATTAATGCCCTTTTACAAGACTAATTGCTTGGGGACCAGCCGATACCCAAAAATACCATGTAATTTTCCTCAGGGAAGTGATAGGCCTTTCGCCATGACATGCACAGCTTTTCACCTGTTTGTAAAGAACTGAGTTGTGGTTTTGGCCAAAAAATAAATGGTATTGGTTTGGGGGGATTTTTATTGTTGGTGTTTTGTTTTGTTTTGTTTTGTTTTTAAGTCATACAAAATTTATCAAGCTTCACCCTTTTCAAAGTGACTGAGTATTTAAAAGTGGCAAAGGAACCATTATATTCATTTAAGTCTGTCATTAACAACTTACCTGTTTTCCTTTTTTTTTTTTTTTTCAGAGTTCACTGTTTTCACTATCTCATCCCTCTGGCAAAACAAGGGAATTATGCCATTGTTGCTAACGTGGAAAGTATGGATTATGACCCTCTGGTGGTTCGGCTTAATAAAGACATAAGTGGCATTGAAGAGGCCATGAGTTCCAGTCTGCAGCAGCACAAGTTCCAGTATATCTTTGAAGGTCAGATCTTTGCCCATGTGATTGGAAGGAGGAAGGATAGAATTTGTACACATTTCTGTCTGCCTTAAATTTGAAGCTGTTGGGAAAAGCATTTTGTTTCTTACATGTTTGGAGATGCAAATTGTGTGTGTGTGTGTGTGTGTGTGTGTGTGTGTGTGTGGCTAAGGTAGACCAAAGTATGGTTACCATCTGCTCCTGATTGATAAGGAGATTTTATCAAACATAGGGGCAGATGGCAGTCCTGCTGCCTGCATCCTGTGCTGCTCATAAGGTCTGGGTACAGGTGGGGAATGGACCCTGATTTAATTCATACAAAATTGAAGGGAAATAGGGAGAGGGAATCCTGAAAGATTCCTCATCAATAGTATCGTTGTCTATAAAAACCATTATTCCACTATGACTGCCGTCTTCCCAGAGTGTATCTTCTGAAAAGAGCATATGCCTCTGATTAACAAGGTTCCCTCAGAACATTAAGGTGTATTTCCTTTAGTCCTATGTTGGTTAATGTGGAGTGTGCCATGTGTGGAGCATGGTGGTGAGAACTGCTAGCTTCTGCCTCAGAATGTAGCTAATTTCCATGAAAGTAGGTATACAAAGGAGTGTGATCACCTAAAGATGGGAAAAAGTAGCAATGTGTGGCTATCCCTCCTGTTTTGAACTTTATGTCTTCTAACAAAATTTGACTTTAAAATGATGCTTGTTTTCCCTTTGACTTTGTTCCCATGGGAACAGATCAGTAAGTCAGGTAGAAAACTTAGTCATGAGAGGCTGAATATGGTGATAAGCTTAATATGGTGGCCAGCTCTGTAGTAGATTGCCAGTCCTGGTCCAGTAGAGGTGTTATGACTGGTGGGACTTAGAGCCCTCCCCATATACTTCATTTTTCCTTCACCACATGTTACTCAAGAATGTCCTCTCTGCTGTTGGCCACTGTTCTGTACTTTCTTCTTTTGATAACTTGGTTCCAATTCCAGAATCCATATTCATAGCTCTCAGAACTTTGTTCCCCTTTTCCCCCTAATCTGCATAATTTAAAATGCCCATTACTGATATACTGCAGTAGAATACTTGTTGATATGGATGTTTCCCATCCTCTAACACATACTGTGCTCTTAAATTCTCCAAGTTTGAGATTTCATTCTATGTCAAATAAACTAGGCCTGTGCTATTCAATAGTTCAAAATTCATTACAAGTTCAACTAGAAGAGGTGAATGCCATCAGTGTCTTTGTCTGCACTTATTTCAGATACCTTGTCCTCTATCTAGAATGCCAACTGCTAAGTTTTCCATCTCTTCTTATATGTTTTAGAAGAGAAAAATAGCCTCAAGAAATGGCTCGCCCAGTGAAACTTCATGTTATTCACATCATACTATTCTTCTACCACTGAATTATAAATAATGTCCTGTCAATCTGAGCTATTGATTGTTAGAGCCCATGTATGACTCTTTATATGTCAGAATAAGCCAGGCTCAGATCTGCTGAGTCTGCCACCAGAAGTCACATGGACAGTGTGCCATCTGCATGCCTCCACACTTTCTTGTTCTATTTTAGCCACTGTGTTCAGCCTATCAATTTACTGCTTCTAGTAATACATATACTTACTGTACTAGTAATAAAGATATGCACTGAAAGGGTCAAGAATACAAGAAGAACAAATGCAAGTCATCAAACTGTAACACGTTCCTGTTGGAACTTTGGTTATGATCCTAGTCGGCCAGTGAAGGGTCCCCTGTACCTTTCTCTCACACATCTGCTTTCAGCAGTTTATTTTCTGACAGTATGAGAACGTGGGAGCCCACCCCAACCATTATATCACAATGTCGTATCATGTCCTGCCCAATTCTCTCCACATATCCGCTGGTCAGCGCCCTGTGCGAAGGAGCAGGGACTCCAATTCAGTTTGACCTCTCAAGATGTTCTTTGAGCCCTTGGCATGGCGGCCTCGAGGCAGTTGGCAAGGCCAAAATAAGAGAAGAGTCAGACATTGCATTCTGCGCAACTTCCCTCCATTTGTAACTGCTTAGGTTGCACGGAGCCAGTTTCCAAATGGAGGACAAAACCAGCTTAAAGATGCTGATTTCTCTTTCGCCATTTCCGTTTAAGGAAGACTTAAAGATGCTAGATCAAGAGCTCAAAGAGACCTCAGAGGCCGTCTGGTCCAACCCCCTCATTTTACAGTTGAAGAAACTGAGGCCCAGGGAAGTTAAACGCTTTGCCTAAGGCCATTCATATAGGTAGTAATGCATCTGTTCACATGTGTCTGATATGACAGTCAGTTTGGAGAACTGCCCTGCCCCCTCTGTGTCTCATTCACCACCCCTCCTTTGCTCCAATAGGTTTGGGCCACTTGATTTCCTGCATCTTGATCAATGGGGCCCAGTACTTCAGGCGTATCAGTGAGTCCGGCATCAAGAAAATGTGCAGAAACATCTTTGTGCTTCAGCAGAACTTGACCAACATCACCATGTCACGAGAGGCAGACCTGGACTTTGCAAGGTACAGGGAAAGTTGGGGTCACATCCACGCAGTGCACGTGGAGCCTGGGATCTCATGAACAAGCGCATGCAGTTGTAAAGAGCCTGAGGTCCTAGAACACAAGTGTTGGGATTTTTTTCCATCTCTTCCTATGGTGCTCCATCCAAGTACAACTGTGCCCATTTGGAGAGTAATGGAAGAACAAGCCTGTCCTACCACGGGCGGACAAGCCCTTGTTGGACGAGACCCAAGGTTTCATTGGTGCAGGGAACTCCTCCTAGGGGAACTCCCCCACTGATGCAGATGAACACTTGTTCTGCAATCTATGATCTTAGAGGCTTATTTGGGTGCATTGAGAAGTTAAAAATAATATCAACAACAACAACAATAATAATAATAGCTAGTATTTATATGTTGCCCACTATATACCAGGCACTGCGCTGAGTGCTTTACAAAGATTATCTTGTTTGAGCTTCACAAAAACCCTGGGACTTAGGTGCTGTTATTATCCCCATTTTATGATGAAGAAGCAGACACACGGAAGTTAAGTGACTTGTCCAAAGTCTCAATGCTAGTAAAGTGTCTGAGGTAGGATTTGAACTCAAATCTTCCTGACTTCAAACCCAATGATCTATCCACTGTGCCACCCAGCTGCCTAGAATCACACAGTCAGTATGTGTCGGAGGCAGCATTTAAACCCAGGTCTTCCTGACACAGTCCAGCACTGCATATGCTGTGCCACACTGCCTCTCAGTAGATAAGTAAACATACTATATCCCTACATACATTTAAAAAAAAATAAAACAGATGAATCCAAAGCTCCATCAGTAACAGCCAATGTCTGACAACACTCATGGTTAAGAAATCAACCTTTATTCCTAATCTCTCTGACTCTCATTTAACAAGGTGCTTTTATTTTTGTATCTTTTAATTTGACTTTTTGCTTCCTAGAGAAGCTCGGGAAAGATAGAAAATTCTTGGAGTGGCGTTTAAAGAGATAAATAAATGTCACGTCATATGAAAAGTTATTATAACTTATGGTTTTTATTACATAATCCTATTGAGCCTATTCTCTTCCTCCCTGTCCTCCTTTGTCCTCATATATTTCTCCCTATTTCTGTGTGTGTATCTTAAACTGAATTAGATGAAAAGCCTTCCTTACTCAGATTAGGAAAACCAGGTGTGACTGAATGTTGCATTTATTTGGCCTCTCTTATGGGGAATGATCTCATTATTGAATTAGTCTGTTCATAATAACATTGACAAGGGGAAGTTAAGAACATAGAGGCCTGAGGGACACTGAGAACCATGACTAATTCTCTGTGGAATATAATTCCTAAATTCAATCATCCCTTTTTAAATTATTTTTTTTCTGTAGCTGAAACGTTAAGTAAATTAGCATGGTTTTTGGCAGACAGTGTGGGGCCTGAACATGTGCTAATAGCAACTGGCATCTGAGTTAATGAAATGCTGACTGAGCAGTATTTAGTTTCTGAGGTTGGCATCAGTGGACTTTCCACTGGGGAAGCATTGCTCCAAACAGTCATTGAATGGCGACTGAGTTTTGCCTTTCCCAGATGTCTTGTGTCTTCCCTGCCTAGGACAGATCTCACCCAGCTTCTGGTATCTTCTTTGATCAGATAGATTGGGAAAGGAAATACGTTGGCAGAAACGTATAGAAGATGCGAGCACGATGGGTAAGCAAGCTGATCTCAAAGATCGTTTCAGGCTTTGACGTAGTGTAGGCCTTGGTGATGCAACCCTTCGCTGGAAAGGTAGAGTAACTCATGTATCATCCTACACAGACTTTGATTTGATTGATAAGTTCTTCTCCAAAAAAGTGCCAGATGAATTCAGGATCTTAACCTTTAGATCCTGGTTTAGTGAAGGGGGAGTCAGCCTTGGAATTATGGAAACTTGGGTTCAAGTTCAGTCTCTTCATGCATACCAACAGTGTGACCCTGGATCAAATTTGAGTGCCCCAGGCAACACTGCGAACTCTGCGGTTCAGGCCATTTACTTGTGTGCACTGTCAGTTCCATAGGAGCAGAAATCTAATCCCATGCCTGCTTTTCTGGCTGTGTGACCGTTGGCAAGGCCCTTAATCTCTCTTTACCTCCATCTTCTCATCTATAAAAGAGAAATAATAATATCTACCTCAGAGTCATGAAGACCAAATGAGACCATGTAGTTAAAAGTCAGTTGAAACACAAACACTATATACAGATATAAGAGATGATGAGGATTTTGAGCCAGTCAAATCAACACTTATTTGGTAGTGGATTATGACAGATTTCATCTTTAGTACCTTAAAGTTGCTAAACAGGGACCTAAGAAAGGCTTTAATAGCCCCTGAGGTGGGCAAATTCTAACCTGACTGAAGATGAAAAATCTCCTATGAAATTTCTGCTTACCTACACTATAACAAAAATATACATACACATGTACATATGTATATGTGTATATGTCTACATACACATGCATACATATATGTGTGTATATGCACAAACATATACACACATGTATGTGTGTGTGTGTGTGTACCTGAATGTGTTTAGTTCCCATACATAGGTTTCCTTTTGTCTTTGCTTCCCCCTTCATCCCTCAATCATGGACACATGCCTTCTATAGCCTTATGTTTCCCCCCCTTTTGCTGTTGCTGAGAGGGGCAGGTTCTGTGAAATGTATCCCATTAGTTCTACTGAATTTCAAACTATATTAGATAAACCTAACAGCAATACCCAAATAGCCAAGAATAGAATGTGAGGAGTGAGGCTCAGCACTCCTTAAACAGTGGCTAATCAAGCATGGACAGCATCTGTATTTCCTCTGACTCTCTATAGGAATGTTATCTTCAAGCATAGTAATTAATCATTGGTTTGCCATGTGTCAGAAAACTTAGTTAACAAGTTAGCAAAACTTTCATAAGTTTCCCATTTTTGTTGTTGTTGTTTTAGCTCCATGACCTTGCCCAGTGAAAAGGGAAAGGCTTTTCTATTACAGTTGGGGTTGGGGGTTGGGGGAACAAGGGATAGAGGGCAAGAAGGGGATGAGACAAGATTTTGTGTAATCTCATTTATGCTAGGACTATCAAGATAATTTCTATGATGATTAATATTCTGCTGTGGATACCTTGGGAATTTTTACAGCGTTTGTGACTGTGATAGATAGGTATTATTCATTTTGAGTTGGTTGTTTCATTCTTCGCATACTGATGTCATACTTTAAACTGTGAAAAGGAAGATAAACCTCAGGTGAACAAAGGATTCAAAGCACCTTGCAACATTACTGGAATAATAGTGTGACCCTCCCTGTCTTCTATGGTAATGATCTCTTAAGCCGTGACATGGGTTTGACTTCTTTGACCCTGCTGTTGATTTTCACACTCAGAAGGATAGTTTGTCCTGGGAAATCACTGCAGATTAACTAGAAAGCCAAAGGGCATCATCAGTCTGCTTTGTAATTCCTTTCATCGGACACTATCTTAGCCTGAGCTATGATGTGATTTTCTAAATGTAATTCACAGAAGTATTGACAAGGACCTACATGTTCAATATTCTTGTGTTATACTGGGAGACATCCATGTTGGACTTCAAGCCCCCATATGTATTGTATGGCAATGTTTAACAAAGTACTGTGACTCTGCAGGATTTTTACACAAAGGTGGTATTCAAGATAAGTAGCCTAGAATTTCCTCTCCATCCAGTGCCACATGTTTGCCTTGTAACTGAATTCCCTCCATAATATAGTTAATTTCCTCATTCTTGTTTCTCCCCAGTTGTCTGTCCCCACTGCTTTCTTCTCCTACGTCAGCTCTGCAGAGATCATGTGGTTTAATGGAAAGAGAAAAGATTTGAAGTCAGAAACCCTGGATTTATATTCTGACTCTACGTCTTACTATCTTTGTGACCTTGGGCCAGTCACTTAAACCTCCAGGGTTTATAAAATAAGGAGATTGCACCAGGTGATATCAATAAAAGATATTACATTCCCATCCATCTATCATTGGGCTGTATGTCTTCTTTTCAACCTAGCATTTATCACATTACTGCAAGTAAAGATGTGGGCGCTAGAAATTCTGAACTGATCAAGGAGAACAGTACTAATTTATGATAAAACCATCCTGATGGCTTGGAAGAAAAAATGTTTTACTGATTTTTTTAAGTAATGTTATCCCTTCCAAATACTCCCATCCACTCCCCATAGAAACTTATCTTGTGACAAAGAAGTGCCATTTAAACAAAACTGATATACTGACCATGCCTTTCAGCATATACCTCATTCCTTACCTATAGTCTACCACCTCCCTATTGAGAAGAGGGGCATATGTTTCATCCTAAGTCCTCTGGCATCAAGACTGATCATTGCATTGATCTGAATTCTGATGTCTTTTAGTGTTTTTCTCTTCCATGTTTATTGAAGTGTACATATATACCTTAAAATAGAGGTGTGTATATGTACATACACACATATATAAATACATATATATACACACATATGTTTCTCTTGATTCTGATTACTTCATTTTGCTTCAGTTCACTCAAAGATTCCCAAGTCTCTCTAAATGAGAGGAAAATATTTCAAGATCCTTTATTGTTGCGTTTCCTTCTCTTTCATATACACTTTAAATGAAGTGGCGCTTTATGGAGATGTGTCAGTGGGAATCTCAACTTCAATCTACAGTAGAGTCTGAGTGGAAGGTGGATAAGAGATAAATATGCAGTTAAACTAAGGAGGTTTTCAGAGTGTGAGCAGCAAAATGCTAAATTTGCAGTATCATCTTTCAAACTGAATAGGCTTTGTGGGTTGGACAGAAGCTACAGACCTTTATAATATGCTCTCCCAAACATAATCACCTTTGTTTTCATGTATGTGTCCAGTGAATCTCTTGAATTTTTATTGTTCCAGAAGTGAAATAAGCTTTTGATTTTACTTTTCATTAATAAACAACCTCACTTCTTGTATTATCTAAGTCTACTATAAGAGATAGCCAATTGAATTTGACCTGGGGAAATTCTCTA